CTGCCTGTCCCCTTCAACCCCGACCGGTCCCACCTGTTGATAGCACCTCGTAACCTCCTCATGGTGTAAAAGGGGTGGGGAAGGCAGCCCCATGGGGTTGGGGTGCTGTGCTGGGAGCTGGCTGCAGCCAGGATTTGTCCCCAGCGGTGCTGGTCTGAATTCCTCACCGGGGCTGGCCACCCTTGTGCTGCTGCAGAGCGAGAGACCCTGAAGGGCTGAAAAGGGGGAGACAGGGAGGTGGAGGAGGGCCAGGAGGCACCCAAAAGGCAACGCCGTGTTCCCAAAGAGCTCAGAGGAGGGAGGATGGGGGCTGCGGAGCTTGTGCCGCTCCGAACCCCGGACACGGGGCTGTGATGTCCCAGCCGCTCCCCATCCCTTGGGAGCCAAGGAAGCTGCTTGGAGACGTGGTGTTTGCCCACGTTGGCACAGCCGTCCTGCGGTTACGGCACTCCTCTCCGCGCCTTTGCGACCAGCGCTGACGCAGAATTACCTGCCCGGGGCTGGATTTCCCGGTGCCTCCCAGCCCTCGGCGCTGCCACGTTTCCCCAAAAGCTTTGGGGGGAGCCTGGAGCAGAGAGGTTGGGGTAACACGGGATTCCCCGGGACGTGCTCTGGGATCTGGGACAGCTTCCAGGGATGGGGATCTTCAGGAAATCCTGCTGGAGACTCTGACTCAGCACGGAGCAAGGGGAAGCAGCGAGTCGGGGGGACAACTCTTTTCCTTTCTTACCCCAATTTCCCGCCTCCAAACTCTCCTTTTTTCCCCATATTTTGGGGAAAAAGTACTTTCCCCCCTGCCCATCCAACGCCTCCCAAACCAGAAAGAGTTCAGTCCAACGTAAATCAAAAGGGTTTTCCAAACCTGGGAGCTGAGGGCAGGAAATCTGCTCCTCTTCTCCTTGGGTTTTGCATTTCCACTTGCGTTTTGCAAACTTGTCGTTGTGCTCCCCTAACAATAAAATGGGAGCTGGTCAGGGGGGGTAAGTGTTATTTCCCCTTTCGCAAGAGCAAATCCCAGAGCGGGTCGTGGCCTGGCCCTGTCCTGGCTGCAGTTGGGGATTTCGGGAGGTTTCTGGTTCTGGCTGCCGCTGTGGGTGTTTGCGGTCAAGGCTTTGACCCCCCTTTGCAGACAGACCATCTGTGCTGCCAGATGTTTGTCACCAAGACGTGCAACGGTCAAGTGCACGGGGAAGGCATCGCCGAGAGCATCGCCCCGTGCATCCGCCTGCCCCTGGCTGGGACAGACCCTTCGGAGTCCCTCTGACACCAGGTTCAAAACATCAGAGGATGGTGATGGTGGCGAGGTGAAGGAGAAACCCTGGGTGCTGTTCCCTGAGGTTTCAACTATGGTGGACCTGAGATGCTCTTGTTCCTCCTGGCCGGCCCTGTTGCCAACCAGCGGGCTCTGGTTGTATTTAAGAGCAGGACACAGATGGTGCTGAAATTGTCCTCACTTCTCTTTCTCTGTCTTCTTGCAGAATTGCAGCCCCATCTGCTGCTGATGGAATCGGTTCTCTCTTGCTCATGGGAAAGAAAAGTGAAGAAAATCTGGGTTTCTCCATCGCCAGCCTTGTGCACCACGTGTGAGATGCAGTGCGTTTTCCGTCCCGTCCTGCTGCCTCTCTCCTGCCCAAGAAGACCCAGGGAAAAGGCAGATGGGTGCACATCTGGATGGCTTTGGACTGCTGGCTCTCCTCGTAGCGCACATCTGTCACGAAAACCAGAGCTCACGGGCACATCTGCACGTCCCTATGCGGGTCTCGGACCACAGCGTTTGTGGGCTGCGATGGGAACCCCTGAAATCGTGCAGATCAGTAGCGAGGACCAGAGTTTGCGAGGTATGTGGGCTCCTAGACCTGTAGTAGGAGGGACTTGGTGGGATTTTCAGGAGCCCCTGTCTGGATTAAGTGCCTGGGATTAGGAGGAATGTGTGGTCTGAACTGGGACACCCTCCCACTAGGCTGAGACCCCTGTAGATATTAGATGCAAGGAAGAAGGATGGCAGCAGTCAGTGCAGTCTCAGCTATTTATTCTGATTTTTCATGCAATACATCAGAGTGAAGA